ATAATTAAAAGAATTCAAATTGTAAAAGTAAAAATATAAGTGTAAAGGTATAATTGTCTTGATTGTGTATCATTAATATTTATATTGTGAAGCTGATTATATATTTTATGTCCTTTACTTACATTTAACCCAAATTTTATTAGAAGAACTAAATTTTTTTGAAAAATTTGAGATCCATTGTTCAAACCACCGAGGTGGGGTTTGAACAATGGATCTTATGTTTCTGAGGCAAACGCTCTTCTGCGCTAATGCGTCACGGCTGCTAAATTGTAATTGTCTAATAAATTACAGCGGTGTGTGTTGAATTACAATGGACACAGTTTACTTAACTAACCTTACATTGTTGTAAATTAAGTTAAAAAACTAATATAATATAATACAATAATCTGCAGGAGAAAAAAAAACTTTATCATGAAGTCTGTTTAGCAGACTTTAGCAGTTGCCTGTTCGGCGACAATGAATTTGTCATATCATTTTTTGAACTCGTTGACGCTTCTTGAATCAATAACTTGATTTAGTAACTTATTCCATAAGAATACTATCCTGTTTTTAAAGAAATAATATCTAGCTTGGTTGCTTGTGAATTGACTTTTTAGTCTTAATTTAGAGTCTCTAACATTGCTTGAAGGTCCTTGTGCTAAAAAGGAATGTGGACTCGCATTGTTATGAAACAAATTTTACTTATTTAAACCCCTTGAATGCTTTAATATATTGTATCATGTCCCCTCGTTGCCTTCTTTGTTCTAGAGCTTGTAGATTGAGATAAGTTAGACGGGGTTGAAAATCTAAATTTCTTATTGCTGGAACAAGTTTAGTTGGTCTTTCGTGGACGGTATCTATATCCTTCATGTCTTTATTGAAAATGAATTCCAAACAGATGCACAGTATTTTAAATGATGTCGAACAAAGATTGTAAAGAACCTAACAAAAATAGGTCCTGTGCAATATTTGAATGTTAGCTTAAGAATACTAAGGCATATGTTTTCTTTATTTATTGCATGTCTGAAATGGTAACGTTATTGTCTTTCATAGTGAAGTAACATTTATCTAGGTTTTTGCTTGGTTTTTCATAATATTACATTTCTCAATATTGAAGGACGTCTCCCATAGCTTGGACCATTCTATGAGGGCGTCATGGTCATTTTAAACTGGTATAATATCCAAATTGTCTTTTATTGTAGCAACAAGCTGGCTAACGATTGCAAAAGGTTACAAAGGTTCTTGACTATATGTCGGAAAATGCATATGAAAACAGTTTTGTGACAACGTTAAATAACTGTTTTCGTTTTCAAATGGCTTTTAAACCAACTTTTGAAACAAACGACATAAAAGAAATTATCTTAGACTTAATTATCACTGTTAAAAACAATTGAAATAAAATAATGAGCCTTTATTAGGCGATTCAAATAAAAGCCATGATATGTTAACATATGAATTTATAGTGAATAACACTATCCATCTAAATGTTGGTTATAGAAAAATTTTATGCAGAAAATCAAATTTTGCAAAAATTTTACAGTTTTATAATAAAAATGATTGGCTGACTTTATTTCTAAATAAAAATTCTAATGAATGTTATTAACCGTTTTTAAAAATTTGTAATGAGTCAGTTTCAAACTTGTGCCATAAATAAATGTTCAGTCAAAGATTGGTCAATAATGGTTAACTAGAGAATCAAAGAAAATAAAAATTATTTGAAAAAAAGACTGTGGTTCAAGTATTTATCATCAAAGAAATCAATTTTTTTAAAGAAGCTAAATATTTTCAATTTCTTAAATAATTCTTAATTGATTTTTTGAATTCAACGTAAAAAGTGTAAAGAACGAATTGATTGAGCAGTTTATGAATATTAATCTAATACAGAAAAAAAATCTAATACAAATCCTAAACTATTTTGTTCTTACCTTAATAAAAAAATCAGCCAAACAAGAAATTAAATTATTGAGAGATCATAATGAATAATTGCATGAGGACGAGAGTAAAATAACAAATATTATGGGGTTACATTTTATTCTGTGTTCATCCAAGAAAAAGTCCCTGTTGTGTTATCATATTTCAAACTAAGATCACCTATAAATTGCAACCTAAATAACAAAGGCTACTCATATAAATTAATAACAAAATACTTAGAAATGCTAAAACGAAAATAAATCGATTAAACATGATAAAACTATAGGACTTATTCTTGTATACTTTTTATATATATTAATGACTTACAAGACTCATTGAAATTCCCATTAAAACTATATGCTGATGATAGTAAGTTATTTGATTCAATAAACAACAAACCAGAAAGATCAAAGCTTTTAGATGATATTTTATGTAACAAGGGACAGACCTATGGTGTATGTCTTTCAATAAAAAAAATGTAAAGTTATGGACTTTGGAGTAAAAACCAAAAAATTCAAATATTTCATGACAAACATGGCTAATAATAACAATAAACATATAGCAGTACAAGAAACAGAAATAGAAAGAGATCTGGGTATTTTTATTGCAAATGAATTAAAATAGCATAATCAAGTCATAAAAGCAGCAAATAACGAAAACCAGATTTTTAGAATGGTTAATTAAACTTTTAGAAATTTGGATGTCTACACTATGAAAGTAATGTATACCTCGCTTGTAAGACCACATTTAGACTATGCTGTCTCAGTTTTGAATCCTAACCATCAACAAGATATAGATCATTTGAAAAAAGTTCAAAAAAGAGATTCAAAAAAGCGCGTTCTCAAGTTGACTCTAAAAACAATTTTAAGATGTACTTTCATTAAATTTACACAAATGCTGGAAATTTCAGAGCTCTATCTAGTCTGGAAGGTTATTTCATAATAAAATCAAATGTATGATAAAATAACATCAAAACACTTTTCTTCACAATCAATCATACAATTTTAAATTTGAAAGTGCGCTTTTTTGAACTATCCTACTAAACTCGCTATAATAAATAAATTAAAATAAGCGGTTGTTGTGGTGATGAAAAAGTATAAATTTTTTTTACCCCCCTTCCTTAAGCTGTTATATATGCACTTGAGTTGTTATGTATGCATTGTTGTATATACATATGCCTTATATATATGTATATATATGCATTGTTATATATTTTTTGAATGCTTTTTTGAACTATCCTACCCCCCTTCTTTTGAACTATCCTATCCCCCTTCCTCAAGCTGTTATATATGCATTTGAGTTATTATATATGCATTGTTATATATGCATATGCAGTATACATATGTATATATATGCATTGTTATATATGCATATGCAGCTGTTATATATGCATTTGAGTTAATAGATTTGTAATTTTAGTATTTTAGCTGTCAGGTTTTGAAGTATAATTGGCAAGTGTATATTATTGAGGACCTTTTACATTGTGTGTCTCTTTTTGGCAAAAAGCACATACATCCACCCCCTCCCTATAAGTGACCTTTTTGGGACGGCCTGACAACAGCCACGCTGATTAAGAGAAGCAAAAAGCAGCAGCAATGCCCGGCTCCGTAAAGCTGAATTTTTAACATAGCCTCTTACCTATTTCCTCCCGACAAAAAAAATATAACTAAAACAATTAAATCATAAAAATGCCTTTTTGAAGCTTTTCTGCAAAAAAATATTTTAAAATAAAATAAAAATAAAAAAAAAATTCAAAACAGCGCGTTCTCCAGTTCATCCAAAAATCAATTTTAAGTTGAACTTTTATTAAATTTACACAAATGCTGGAAATTTTAGAGCTTTAGCTAGTCTGGAAGGTAGTAAAAACGCTATGATAATGAGCAGCCGTGGCGCAGTAGTTAGATTTCTGGCTCAAAACCCAGAGGTCCGATGTTCAACGCCGGCTCTAGCTCAATAAGCAACATTGGTAAAGAAGAAAGGCGTGAACTTCGAGTTAAATTTTCTCCGGCGGGGCTCCGTCATAAGGCCGTTAGGGCTTCTGTGATCATCTAAATGAAAAAAAAAGATAAAGTTCCAGGAACAACTGATAGCCGACAAACATCATGTTAAGTCAAACTAACGTTTGAAAAAAAATTATTTTTTGTTTATTCTAAAGCACTATTTTTTAATTAAATGAGATTTTATTTTCCTAATCAAACTGTTATTGTTAATTAGTTAATTTTACACGTAAAAGTAATTTGTTATTATGATGTAGTTTTATTTTACTTTGTATTGTTAAGTGTTTTAAATTTATCTTTACGTAATTTTACTTCAAAAATAACTATTTTTACAAATATAAAGTAAATTTCATTTCGATGTAAACTTTTTACATAATTACAACCGAAATTAATTTTTAAATTAATTTACTTTACACGAGTTACCATTAAAAGTTACATTTACAAGTAAGAAAAAAATTTTTATAAAATTTATTACTTGTAATAACTACTTGTAAAAAGTATATAACTTTTTTAAGTAACAGTTATTACTTTAAAAAACCATATTGTTTTGTAAAAGTAAATAACAATTTTTTTCAAATTACTTTTATGCAAACTATTATTGTTAATAAGTTCCTTTTTTTATAAAATGTAAATCTTAAGTAAATAAGTTTTACACGTTAAAAAATTTTTGTAAAAAAAAAACGAGTTACTTTTAAATGTAAGTAAATTATGTATTTTTATAAGAGTAATGTAAAGTAATTAACGCTTAAACGTAATTTGCGTTTAAACATCAAAATAAGTAAAATTGTCATCACTAATTTGTCAGCTTATGCAATATTTTACCAAAGATAACTAAAAAATGTATAAACGCTTTAAAAAGAAACTAGTTGGAAAAATTCAAGTTTAACATATATAACCTGAAAAATGTCAATAGTTAAATAAATAAAAGTTTAGTGTATTTTTTAAATTGGATTTTCAGTAAAAGTAGTTTTTTTTAATTTAATTTTTTCCATTGTTCAAATCATTTTTTCTTTTTTCCAATTTTATTTGTGATATTTTTTGCTATTGTTTTGTAATAAAAAGATAAAAAAAAATATGTTAACAAAAAAATTATTTTATTTTATATTTTTTTAGATATTAATGAATGCAATAGTTTAACTGATAATTGCAACTTGACAAATAACGTTTGTGTAAACAGCATTGGAAGCTATAATTGTTATAAAGGTAAATCCTAATATATGTTATTTAAATATTTATTTTAAAACTTATGTATTGTCCATATTTTTCAGACAATACTATTCTTTTTCATCTAAAAATCTAGTGTATATTAATTTAATAAGTCTTTTTATATAAAAATAATGTAATTTTCTCGCTCGAAACAAAACTTTTCTTTCCAAAAATTTTTTTATTAACTTGAATTCAACTCATCTTACAAAAGTTTTACACCGATTTATAAAATATATCTACCCACAAAATTAACATTACTAAAACTGCTTATACATAACTACAATTAAAATAATTAAAAACAATTAGTAAAAGAAACGATGGAATCGCCTTAGAATGTTCTAGAACTTTCTCCACTATATTTACATTCCTCTTTGGTCCTTACGGATCATACAAAAAATAATCGTAGTATTTTTGGGGCATGCGTTGTTCTCGAGTACTTTGTGGCAAAGGCACTGTTTCTTGAAATCCGTTTTCAGATTTACCATTTCCTTGTAACACGTCTCCTTTGCTTGTCTCCTACACATTTTTAATTTGCTCACTATGGTTTGCCGCCTTTTCTCGACCACCGTCTGCGTTCGCTTTAGGAGTATCGCATGGTTGAATGTTATTTCGATATCGGATATGTTTTACGTGATGCGGAATGCTATTAACTTCGACAACTTGTTTCGAAATCTTTCTTGTTAGTTTTGCTACCTGCAACTTAGTATGGCATTTCGCATTGGATGGTTCTAACCAAACATTATCACCATTTTTAAATACTTCATTTGTGTCAACTTTTGTCGGAAGATTATCTTTTTAGCAATCGTTGCACCAACACACTACTTCCGGTATTGACATTTTTGATCTTTTTGCAATTCTCTTAATTGTACGATGATTTCTTTCCACAATTCTATTTGCTTCGGGATAATAAGCAGCTTGAAACATAATGCGCACTCCCCAGCCATTAAGAAAACTTCTCAATTCCTCAGTTCTAAAAGTTGGTTTGTTATCTGTCAAAATTTCAGATGGTGCTCCTCACTCACAAAAGATAAAGCGGAGTATTCGAGTAATGGCAATACTTTCGTATGAACTTGAACGAAAACTCCAAAGTATTCGAACTCTAGTCAAGGCGTCAGATAAGTTGTCTTTTGAAGGAACAAGTTTTACAATCACATTAATACCATATTCTTCAATACATTGTTGCAGAACGCTTAATCTTCTTCAAATCAACATTTCGCCCATTGCTTTTGATTTCAATTTTGACTTACCAGTGAGAGCGTCAAAGACCCAGTGGAACACTGTCACGTAATCTGTAAAAATAGTTACTTTTTTTAATTTCCACGTCAAAGCCAAATTCATTCCTCGCATTACAGCATCCAGCTCCGCCATGCTTATGTGATCCTTAGACATTTGTTTTCGTAGCCATGTTGCATCTTCTACAGTTGTTTTACTAACGCGAATAACTTCATTACTTGCCAAAGAACTTGCATCAACCCTCACATTTTCCTCGTCACCATGTAGAGCCCAATCACCATAAACTGGATAGTCATTTGCAAACTTATCATAAACCTTTTGAAGTGCACGCTTTAAATTTTCATTGCAAAACTTCATCGTCCCAACCCTTCGTCAAACTAACCACTCTTCTATTCAAAAGACTACAAACTGCACGTAACCAACAACACACTGGAAAATAACATACCAATTGCCCACATACGGAAAACACTACTCTTCTACTTAACTTTTTTGGCATTACGTTGATTTGATTCTCCCTGGACCAGGTCACTTGCCACCAACCTTGTACACACGTAATCCCAAAATACGAACCCCATTACATCCAATCTGTTCACCTTCTTTACTCTCTAAACCATAATTTTCAATGTCTTTTGACATAATCAAGACTCACTACTTCCTCATTGACAAAAATATTGTCCACATAGGCGGATGCTCCTCTCTTCACCAATTCATCTTGATCAATAATGGCACTCACAACAGACTTGTTGTGAGTGCCATTTTTGTAAAAGCTGTATTTTTATGTAAAATCAAATTTTAAATAGGATTTCCTAAAAAAAAATTTTGATCGGAAAAAGTTTTGATACCCAAATATGGACTTTTCGAAATTGCAAAAATTAGTAAAATCTAATTTGTCACATGTATTTTACATTTTCATTTTCATTGAATATTAAATGCAAATAACATTTTTAGATTATTGAAAGTTTTTTTGATACTTTTTTAAAATCATTATCTTGCATGGATTCTATCTGCAGTGCAGAGTCTGCATTTTTTAGAGGGAGGAGGAGGGGGTCTTAAATTTTTTATGAGGCTCTAATTATTAAAAAGTTTGATCATCATAGTTTATTATACTTTCACAAAAAAATAGGTGGTTTATTCTCCTATCTTACACTAATAATATTTTGATAGAACTACTAAAACACTATTAAAAAACAAGTAAAATAAAAATCTATTGAAGTTAAAAATTTAATAAAATATCTTTTTTGTTTTAAAAACAGGTAGCAACTCTCTATGCTGAGCTCTAGCTCTAATATACCCATCTCTTGCATATGGTCCAACTACTGACATAGATGCTACTGTCATTTGTTTTACAGCACGCTCAGTACTTGAGTATGAATTTTAATCGAAGGAGTTATTAAAGGTATTAATCTTAGTAATAACAACTTATCTCTGGTGAGCGAACAAGTAAAAACAGGTTCTTGTACAACACCATTTTCCCATTTAACTAGCTCTTGAAGAGTAGTTGCTGCAAAGTTAAGTTTAGGTGTTTTTCTTGGTCTGATTCGCATATCTCCAAGGATATTATTACCCCTTAGTTTCAAAATTTGATCATCTACAAAATCGCAATCTTCTGCATTATTACTAGATAAAAAAAAGATTAGTATACTTTCATGGTTCGCATACCAAGCTCCTTACTGGATGTAGGGAGTCACATTTTCTTTTACTCTATCAGGTTGCATTCAAAAAGTTCTCAATTGAGGCTGAATGTGATAAGAAGCATCTTCAAGTCTGTTTTTGACCTTTATGTCAAAAAGTTTAAAGTAAAATTGTAAACAAAATACAACAAGTAATTCTAAGTTTTGCGAGTTTTGATCATTTAAGTCATGTTTCCTTGTCCACATAAAGACTATTCTCATGCCAGTAGTGAGCCATCTGGCATGACTTAAGGGGCCACAGTGAATTTCTCTAAGATTAGGTGGCAATAAACCAATCTTAACAGCTTAAGATAGCTTGTAACATTGGTTCTGATCTGTTTACATATTTTTATTATTTCTGGAATGTCGACAAAGCTCTCTCCAATTGGAAGAGCTTTAAATTGAGGATTATACTCCATTTTATAAACACCAGGACCTACAAATCCAGTACTACATGATGTTGGTTCATTAATGCCTTCTATAAAGTGACGCAAAAATAATTCATTCGAATGAAGCATGCATATGGCTCAGTTGCACTTGTGACCTAACAGCTTTTCAATATGCGTTATAGCACCACCTTTCCAGCCTGTGTTAATTAAAGTACTGTCAGCTATAAGTACTAAACATGATTCAGTAAGATTATGTTGTTGCAGCAAATTATAAACACCTTCAGCAATCTTTTTAGCTGGCTTATCTAAACGATTAGGTGCATTTGTTGTAAAATGGCCAGGATATTGACCACCAGGTTCTATAGTCACAGTATTGTGCTGCTCTTTGATAATAATAGGATGTAGCTGTCCATTTGATTCATTTATCATTGCTCTTGTTGAGTCTTTCCCTTCGTCAAAGAAAATGGCAATATTATCTGCTTTCGGAAGTTTTAAGTTATCATTTTTCTTTGCAACTACCATCACCTTTTTTCTCTCTCTTGTCAACTTAGAAGGATCACAAGCAAGGTAAAAGGACTCAGGGGTGAGAAATCCTGCTTCAATTAAATCTTGAAGATAACTTGTGGCAATTGCTGAAGTTGCGCCAGGTGAAATTCCAAACCTATAAAATAAGAATGGTTTATATATATATATAATATATAAAATAAGAATGTATATATATATATATATATATATATATATATATATATATATATATATATATATATATATATATATATATATATATATATATATATGTGTATATATATATATATGTATATTTATATATATATATATATATATATATAAATATATATATATATATATATATATATATATATATATATATATATATATATATATATATATATATATATATATACATATATATATATATATATATATATATATATATATATATATATATATATATATATATATATATATATATATATATATATATATATATATATATATATATATATATATATATGTATATATATATATATGTATATTTATATATATATATATATATATATATATATATATATATATATATATATATATATATATATATATATATATATATATATATATATATATATATATATATATATATATACAGTGGCGGATTATCAAATTATGGGCTTATAGGCTTAACTAATTCATGAGCCCTATATACCTATATTTTTCTAAAAAATACGTCAAAAAGTACAATTTTAATTTTATTTATAATAATAATATCTATAATAAAAATCTAATTTTATTTCAAAATTAAAAACAAATATTCAGGTATATTAGATACTAGTATATATTTTATAAATGGCTGACCCAAAGAAAAAAACAACACGATCAAAAATTCATTTTTCTGCATTTTTGTTCAAAAAAGTCTGATAAAATTTTATTGAAGTCACAGCTTCTTAGGATGTCAGATTCAGTACACATAACAGTAAGGGAATTCAGTTTGTCATCACCCAAAGCACTTCGCAGATAGTTTTTTATCCGTTTTAATGCAAAGAATGATCTTTCATCACTGCAGTCGGTGATCATCAAACTGAGGTATATGTGAAGTGCTGTGGCAACATTTGGAAATGATCGTTTACATAATGCTGAATTCAAGTGATCAAGTACTGGCAAGAAAACCATGAATCGAAATTTCTGCTGT